TGGAGAAGGGGAGAAAAGCATCAATGCCAAACCTGCTCTTTCGGGAGACTTTCTGCACTTTCTGTCCCATGCTTCCCCTTCACTTCCCCTTTGGTAATACCTAAATGTGATCTTCATGCTTTAATTCAAAAGAATGTACCAATGTACTTTCTCTAAAAACTTTTAACGTCATCAGGCCCTCTGCTTTTGTAATTTTTCATTACATTTGAGGAGTTTCCAAGTAGTAAAGCCAATTAGAGTAAACAGTTCCCTCTTCCAAATTCTTTTTTTCTCTACCCACTTTGTGGTACAGGAAAAGGAAAGCTAAAGCCTGCAAAATTCCTCAGAAATCTTTATTTCACCTGCTTAATTATCTAGAAAATACACAGAAAATTAGAAAAGGATAGGTCTATAGATACTAATTATCATTCAGAATGGATTGTTACTCTTCTCCTTCTCAACTAATGAAGATTCATCTAATTGAGAGATTAGGGAGAAACTTTGAAACTAAAATAGAAATAAAGTTGAAAAAGTGGGAGCACTTAACACACACAGTGGGCACTCAGTGACCATTTGCCAAACGAATGTGTGACTGTTTTGGGCCTGTTTCCATTGTTGCCCTCATTGTATTTTTCTCTGCCAGAAGTACACTGGCCCCCTAAATTGGCCATTAATAACTACTTTGATACTGCATTTTCTTTCTGCAGAAAGAGCTGAGAAGAATTCTTCAAATATTTGGTCATACATACCCTATAAGTAAAATATATATATATGTATGTATGTGTGTATGTATAAACGTGTGTGTATACATATAACGTACCATTATACATGCTATTGTACTAATATGTATATTATAAAATACACAAAACCAAAAATATTAAACAAAATAGTATTTCCATAACTCAGTGGATTATTTTGGCACACTCTGAAGTAAGCACAATCCAACTTTGAAGATCACTTAAACAGAGACTATTTTTCCACATGTTCCAGGTGGCTCTACCACTTTTATTTTTCTTCTGCCTAACCATCATTTTTATTCTTCACTTTCTGCAGTGATAACATTTAACTTTCATCTCAGAAACATGGCACCTCTTCCTACAATGACCCTAGTCAACTTGGGGAGATCCTGGGCACCTCCATGCCAGAATGTTAGGAAGGAAAGAGAACTACTTGAAGATACCTTATAAAAATACAGGTTGTCCTCAAATTTGTACCTGAACTGACCACTCTTTCCTGTAGGGAACTGAGTTTGTTTCCTTAGAAGAAATGTAAAGCTCAGGAAGGCAAATCGCTTTCATCAACACATTCATTTTGGAGGGACGTGATCAAACACGTTAAGCACGTACCTTGTTCAAGTCAATGTGCAGAGAGTTTCTACAACTTTTTTTTAATATATCTTTTTGAATGTAAGCGCTGTAGCTCCATGGGATAGACATGACTGGGAAGGGGCAGGGGTTGGAAGCGCTAAGAGTTCCAATGCCCTCTTGAGTAGGTAGCAAGTGACAATGCAGGACTCAACCTCCGCCTGCCTCCAATGCCATCCACATGGCTATCCTTCTGTTTTTTTCTGCTTCTGCTGATGGATTCACAGTAGACAGCACTCTTGGATGTCTGCTTTCAAGATATTGTTTCACGTGAGCAGTAAACTAACTCTAAGATAATCAGTGCATTTCATAGGAAGCTTTCAGTTTAAAACCAAACTCGTTGCCATTGAGTTAATTTTGACTCATAGTGATCCTGTAGGACAGAGTAGAACTGCTCTACAGAGTTTCCAAGGAGCCCCTGGTGGATTTGAACTGCCGACCTTTTGCTTAGCAGCCATAGCACTTAACCACTATGCCACCAGGGTTTCCACTTTCAGTTTAGGTACCTCCATATCACTTAGTATCAATGACCCTCTGAAAGTTTTCTGTTCTTTATACTTACTTATATGTAGGTTTTTCTCCTAGCGGTCGACTCTACATTAAGAAGTATAGAATGAGTGGCTGCTTTCAGAGCATTAGAGTGAGGCAAAGGGACTAAATTTCTTTCAGCAAATTTAACACTCCCTTGCAGCAGTCAGGACTCTGAAGACTTTGGAAAAGGTTCTTTGGCTCTGGGATCACTGGAGTTTATTGTGTTTTCACATTTAATAAATCATGCTAACATACTGACACACCAGAAAACTTTAAAGTGCTGCAGGCAGGCAAATCCCTTACCATGTACACTTTATATAAAATGGGTCTCATAGCCTAAGCCTGTGATTAAAGGGAACAGTTTCAGAATCAATCAAAATGTCTAGTTGCATGAGCACAATACATATGGTGACATGCTCTCAGGGCCTTATCAGGAGATAAAAACATTAAATTATTTAGCTTGAGAATGAGGAAACTGAACAAGATAGAAAGGAGATTTAATAAATCTTCAACTGTATGGGGAACGTTATTATACAGACAACATTGTCAAGCTGTTCTTCATTTCCAGCAAGATCAAAATAAGAGATTAACTTCAGGATAAGGGATTTAGATTAACTCTATGGAAGAACAACTTGACTGTAATGGTTGTGATTTTGGAAAAAGCCATAAAGGGAATAATGAAGGACATTGCAGAAATAAATTACCGCCTATCTATGAGTGGCTTATTGTTCTGCAATCAACTAGAGGATTCACCAGTTAGCCCAATTTAGCAAATATTTATAGAGTTATTTGTTACAGGAATCTACAGTTTGGTAGAGAAATAGGACAAGTACACCAATAACCACAATACTGGACAGATTTTGACAAAATGATAAGAGAAGAAAGTGCTTCAGGAATTCCTAAGAGGAAGAGAATCCGTATATTTGAGGAGATCAAGAAAGAGTTCACGTTAAATATGTCATTTGAGATTGAGCATGATGAAAAATTGTAATTTTCATGGATTAAAAAGTCATGTGGTAGTGTGTGTGTGTGTTTGAGGACAGGGGATGTATATTCAACTAAGGGAATGACACAAGCCAAAACACAGAAATAATTAACATGGAGGAGACGACAGTTTCATTCACTTGAATTGTAGAGTTAGCTGAAACTAGTAAATGATCTCCTCTAGGGAGAGAATGCAGAGAGGGCAGAGAAGAGAGTCAAGAAAAGAACATGAATTAAGAAAGTAAAAGGAGGGAGAAAATCAAAATGAAGATACTTCTATTTCATTAATTACTTCAATCTTTTAAAAAATATTTGTTGAGCACCTGCTATGCAGCAGGCACTGAAGGTACAGGGGACAAAATATCTTCTACCCCTGTAGAGTTTATAATTTAAAGGTAGACTACATTGATTACATAGTAATGAAAACACATCTAGAAGTACAACTGGAAAAAATGCTGCAGATGAGAGGAGCTGATAGGAGGAAGTGTGGTAAGAGATAAAATTGAAAAGATAGGCAGTGGCACATCCCATTAAGGTCCCCATTTGGGGAACTGGAAGTCTTTAAAGAGCTTTTAATATATGGCTGACATAAACACAATTGCATTTAGAAAAACAAAACAAAACAAAACACACAGGTGGTGCAGAATAGATGAAAGGGGGAAAGCTGGATGTGGAGAGGTGAACTGGGAGGCTATGTTAGTATTCCAGGTGGCAGGTTTTGGTAGCTTGGCCCAGGTTTCAGTTATGAAGATGGAAAGAAGTGAACCAAAAGGAGACCTAGTTTGAAGAGTAAATGGAAATCTATTAGAGGTAGCAATAACAAGACTTGTTGCCAGAGCTGATGGAGAGGGTAAGATAAAGATGACTCTTTGATATCTGGCTTGTGCAATTGTTTAGATGGTGGTGCCATCTGCAGAGAGATGAAAACTGAAAGGGGGGCAGGTTTCCAGGAGGAAATCATGACTTCAATTTAAGAAATAATGAGTTTGAGTTGCCTTTGAGATTTCAAGTAGATGGTTTAATAGTTATATATAGGCGACTGAAGCTCAGGTGGTTCTGGGACTAAGATGTAAATTTGCACGCTTCTGCATGAAGGTGTAATTAAACCATAGCCATAAATGAAATTACCTAGGGAGAGGGTATGATATGAAATGAGAAGAGATGAGGACTTAGGACCATGTCTTGAGAAACTCTCAACAGCTAATGGATTAGTTTAGAAGATAATGATTCTGTAAAGGAATCAGGAAATTAGTGGCGATAGGAGGAAAATAGGAAGAATGCAATGTCACAGATGCCAAGAGAAAAGTATTCAAGGAGAGGGGAATTGTTTCTCAAAGCATCAGATGCTGCAGAGAGGCCAAATAAGGTGAAGACTAGAATGTTTGATAGATCAGTATGGGGCAAGAGTGGGGGTTTCTTCAGGAAAGCCTTCTCCCTTATTCTCAGGTGTAATTAAATGTACCTTCATCTGGGTTCTCACTGTGGTGTGTTTATTCCTGTTATGGCACTTACTATTTGTATTAGAAATGATTGAGCTGTGTCTGCTTCCCTCCCTAGGGAGAGAGGGGCTTCTTTATAAAATTTGTTTCTCAGAATATTGAGTGGCTCTTTGAGAAGATGAAATGTTAAATAAATATTTGTTGACTATATGAGTAAAACGTAAAGAATAGTTAGAGAGGCAGAAAACCTAGAGAGGACAAGGAGTTGGTGTTCCAGTGGCAAGTACCAAAGAGAGGTTGAAGATGAAGAGGACTAACAAAATTCATCGCCTTCATCTATGCCATGCATAGGTTGAGAGAATTGAGCTCTTGACCTGAAATGAAAGTCTTCCCTCTAGAACACTTTGCTCAGAACTCAGACACATAGTTACTCAACTGTTATTAATTGACCTCCATTTTTTTTACCATCTTACTGTATTTCTCTATCTATGTCCTTGTAGATATCAGATGACTTTGTTGAATGACATAGTTGAGAGCTATCAATCAGAAACCATATTATTAGCTACTGAAAAAAAGCAAAGGATTTGACTTTCTGAAGCCCCAAATGAAGTTTACCCTTGAAATCACAAGCATAATGAGCATGTAAGTAAGAAGAGCTAGTAACCACAAGCTCTACATTAAAACTTTAGAAATGGAATATTACCTTTCTCTCCTTCACTTTCAAATGATAATTTCCTTCTTCGCAGGTTACAGTTTTCTCCTTCAGAATCATTCATGGATTGTGATTGTAGTAAGAGATCAGACTTTGTTAATGAAACATGAAAATGAAATGGAAGATTACTCAATTTGAACATAATGTATTATCAGTGAACTCTTTACTATTTTATATCATTTCAAACACTTTGAGACTTAATTATTACATTGCAGGCGAATAGCTACCATGCTTTGCTTAATGTTCGTCTCTGAATTATAAAAGAGACTGATAGAATAATTCTAGTAGTTACACATTCTCATGGGGAAATCATAGTTATAGAAGTTATTTATCAGAAATGTCTGAGGATGATGCTGTCAGCATTTAAATACAAAATATTCCTTTATGTGGAATGTGTTTCCTGTAACTTGTAAAATTAAAATAATAATAATTAAAAAAATATAAAAATCCTTTGCAGAATCTGTATTACTTCAGAGATAAATGTGTAAACTAATTAGCTATGATGCTTAAATTACATGATAATGGAGGTAAGGTTAAATTTCCCAATAAATATAAGGTTGAATTCAATAAACACTATGCTTTGAACCTCTTATTATTTTTGTTTCCAGCTCCTCTTTCTTCCCCTTATGGTTTATTCTTTACTTTATTATCAGTCTTGTAAATGAAAATGGAAGTACCTCTTTTATTTATTTGGGTGCTGTCTAAACAGTTTACGTAAAGAAATTATCAGAGGTAGATGATTGTTTTTCAAGGCAAAATCAGAACGAGGATTGGTGACATTAAATTGGGATTTGATAAAGCACTGAATTAACACTGTTATTTAAAAAACATACTCTTGATAATATCAACCGTTACCACTTAAGTAACGTTCAACTTTTCAGAGTTTTGAAAAGAAGCAATTATTTGAGCTTGTGCCTTAAGATGTTAAATGGTACTCTAAAATCCAACCCATTGCCGTTGAGTCAACTCCGACACATAGCAACCCTATAGGACAGCGTAAAACTGCCCCAGAGTTTCCAAGGAGCACCTGGTGGGTTCAAACTGCCTACCTTTGGGTTAGCATCCATAGCTCTTAACCATTATGCCATCAAGGTTTCCAAAAATTTCACACTGGTGACCTTAAAAGTCTCTTTTTCTCCTTAAGACTCTCACAGCACCTGGGAATGACTATAGCTCCAGGGAGAATGAAATCTACTATCATTTACTTAACTATTGACTTGAGGATCTTTATTCCAGAGAGGATATTAATTAGCGTTAAAATATACTGCCAAGGTTTAAAACCCAATATTTACTTTCAATAAAATATATTTAGAATTGGAGTGGGGTTGCAGGGTGGTGAGGGGATGGGAATGGAGGAATAATCTAGTAGTAAATTGTGGGCTACAACATAAATTCTATATCCATATAATAGTAGTAGGTCGAAAGAGCTCACATTTTCACAGCAGAAGGGAGTGAAGAACATAGATGCTCTCAAAATTAATATCAGGTTAACTTCTATTTGGAATTTGTTTGCAATATTATTTCTATTAGAACATATATTATTCATTCCGTAGTACTAATTTTGGCTCTTCCTTAAAACCTGATTAATTTATACTTATGTGATTTGGAGATTTGCTAAATACGGACTTAAACTGGAATGAGGTTAATTTTTCCATTATTATTGAGAAGATATTGCTAGCCATCATCTTGGAGTAAATAATAGCTGAGAGAGAATATTTTGACCCCTGTATAAGGTAAACTCTTAAGAGATTTTCAGTATCCTCGAATCACCCATTTCTTACAAATAATTAACACACTTAATATAAACCAAGTCTATTTTCAATCAACTATGTCACCTAAGAGTTCCTACAAGGTCAATCTTAATCGACCTACTTACAGTTATCCAATATATTTGAAAGAAATCAGGCTGAATTCCTTAAGAAAACACCCTATAATTTAGAAATTAAAATGCCTACATGGCCTTTCCTTCCAAATATTCAAAATTGGTAAAGTTTTGCTGCAATATTTCAATTGATCCTTCAGAAATTTTTTTGTGCAATCTAAGAATAAAATATAATGCCAGAAGTGTAAGAATAAGCAAACAGTTAACATATACCTTCGCACTCTCATGTCGCAGGTTGAAAGTCAACTCTAGGTTTGTTAGAAAGTGATCGGAAAACTCAGGATACATATCCAAAACCTCTAACAAGTCTTCTCGCTGGATCTTATGCAAGTCACAATATGTGAGAGCTCTTACATCTGCGTTAGACTTTCCCGGTTTGGCATAAAGATGAACCATTTCTCCAAATATATCATTTTTTCCTAAAAAAAACAAAGAGGGAGGGGGAAAAGGAATCTAAACTTAATGTTTTTCTTCTAAAGGAAGAAGGTGAACATTGACCAATCCCCGATTTCATACGTAAGGCCCCATGGCCAACAGACACTTGGGAGCAAAGTTTTAGCATTTGCACTGACTGCCCAGCACATATTTTCGAAGCGGAATTTTACCTCTAATCTTCACTGGTCCTAGGGGTTACCCTGTTCATTTCCTTGTTTTAGTCCTTTCCTGGGCTAAGTGTCTAAAATGTTGCAAACACATTTTCATTATGGTATGCCTTACATTGCTAGCAAAGAGTCTAGCCATGGAGTATTTTAAAAATACTTTTAGGTAGATGTGATCTAATTTTATCAATGCAGGAATATGAGAAAGACCACAGTGAGTCAGATTCATAATCTGCCTGTCGCTGGAGGGTCTCTAGTGGGGATGTCAAGCAAGAGATTATAGTGGAACATTTTAAACCCTGAAGTATTGACCTTAGAAGGCTAGGGGTACAATTTGAACACACCTTGTTTCCTTTAATAACCACTTGTAGATTTTTCTTAATGAATTTGTCCAGTCGTTTAACAAATATAGTTGTATATTTTCAACATATATGGTCATGGCCTTTTCTCATATGGCCTCTGCTCTTCTGGTGTCCCTCCTTCTCCCATCTACCCTGGGGTTACTTCAATGTCTGGCTCATGATGAGTTCTCCCCATCCTCTCCGACACCTGCTTTTCAAGGTCTATCCAATGATGATGATGATAATGACAGCAGCAACAACAAATGTTTATCCAGGCACCATGTCAAATGCTTATGTGCATTATCTCATTTAATTCCCAAAACAACCTCATGAAATAATTACTAAATATTATCCAAATCTTATGAATATTGAAAAGAGGTTTAAAGAGATAAATTGATTAGCACCTCGCTAGTTGAGTGAAGTGGAGGAAGGGAGAGAGTAGCCAGGATTAAATCCTGTGCATTCTGACTCTGGAGTCAAAGTCCTTACATATCTGTTACGTTGAATCTCCTCTCAATATTTTCCTTGAATGTCATGGCCACTTAGAATTTTCTCTCTGCACACCAAGACACTTAAAAATTGTACCTGGGCTGTATATGCTTAATAAATAATGATAGATTACTTGATTATATAAGCTTTTAAAGATTCTTAGTGGCAGTATAAAACAGTGCTTTCTTATGCTATCCTGAAGCTTCTTTTCAGATTTAGAAAAACCTCTCTGGGTCCGTTATTTTAGTTTTTGGTGGACAACTTCACGTATGTACTACTGTGGAAACTATCAAAGACTTTTAAAGAAGAAAGTTCTAACTGGTCAAAGCACACACACACACACACACACACACACACACAAAATCTTGAATATTCTTATTTTAACTGAGAATTTAATGCAGAGAAATCACATGTCATGTTTTACAGTCTCTAAGAAAAACTGATACTGGAGAGAAGACATTAACTTTAGTTTAAATGAATACTTATTTGCATTTCAAAAATAGAATGAATAACCATAATTTGTGAGGATTTTAGGTGTTGACTTACATAGAAATGGGGATAGAAAAGGAGAATCTCCTGAAATTCTTTACAGTTTTGATAAATAGACATGATCAAAGAAAAAACTCTGAGCTAAATTCAGCATGGGCTTTGTATTTTAATTAGCTTCCATGACTGTAAATGAGCAAGCAGTAAGTCAGTTAGTGAACATAGTTTAACAGCCCCCTAAAATTACTATTTGACGAAGCAAGAAGGCTTGTTACCTTCGTGCAGAAGCTAGTGCTGGCTGATCTGAAGATCAGAAATGCAATGAAGCATCTCCTTCCCTGGCAACATACCCAGAGCAAACTGTCAGTTCCAAATCTAGTGAAAACCAACTGACAGTTTGGCCTCTGGTGATCTAGAATATGGTTTTATTCTCTGTCTGCTTATTGGATTAGAAACCAAATTCCACATCTTTTTAGTTTTGGGATTTTTTTAAGGCTGATCATTATAATAAAATTATCAAAATACTAATGAATCATTCAGACATCTTCATTCATGCATTTGGGTTCTGTGCTATGCCAGACTCTGGTTATACTCAATGGCAAAGAAAATAGACCACATCTCTGTCCTTTTTGGAAGTAAGAGTCATGCATTAACATGTGTGGTAGAGTAAAAGGCAATTGTTAAATTATATACCCATTATTTAAATGGAACTGGATTTAATCCACAGGAAAAAAATAAGTGCAAATTCGCGATAACACTGGACATGCGTGTTCCCGTGGGCACAGTGGGGTCTAAGCCTACTGGCTAGGTGGCAGGAAAGGAGACGAATTGACTCCCTTCTCTCTGTTCTCTGTTTTTTCCTCACCGTCCTAAACATTCCAAAGAAACCCTACAAGCTCATGCTGACTGAAAGTAAATTTATTTTTAAAGAGACAGATTAAACACAGACTTTCTTTTATACCTAAACCAGTTAAATTTATTAATAACTTTAATCTCTTCACCACCTTCATCTCTGGGTGTTGTGTTCACAGCTCTCTACTATCTACGTAAGGATCCAGATGATGCTTTTGATGGGACACAACAAAGTGCACTGCAAATAGATGAATTTCATCAAAACATACACCCAGATCTTGACAGAGCATTGGCACATGCTTGCAAGAATGCCTACAACAGGCACATTTTATTTTAAAGTATTAAGGGATTATTCTCTAACATAAAAAAGAAAATACTGACTATTTTCATATATTTGACCTCAAATGCCTAAGTCACTGCCAAGAACTGAAAGGCATCATGGAAGTGTTTACACACCAGAGAAAAAGTGAGGCAGTCAAGAAAACATTTTCCGCAAGGTTAACTTGATTTGAATTGAACGTTAAATAAGGTTTTTAAATTACCTTCCGACTTAGACAGTACTCATAAATAAATAGATCAGTCCTTTTCCTATCGTTGTAAAGAAGCTTCCTATAAACTATGCATTGCTGTAGCTAATAAATGAATTGTCACCACCCAATTCTAAAACACTCACCCAGAATAGCTACCACAATGTCGTCTTTGAGGATTTCAATGGAGCCTCTGGACAAGAAGTAAAGTGCAGTGAGGACATCCCCACAGTGAACCAGGGTGTCTCCGGGAGGTGCGTGAGTAGTCTTGAACTTCATCGCCAAAGCTCTAAGGCAACCTTTACTTGCCCCCCGAAAGGCTTTGCAGTTTTGGAGCAAAGTCTGGTTGAGATGTAGACAAATGTCAGCTTGTAAGCATTCTGGAAAACCCTTTAGGACCTGAGGAAAAAAAATAAAGAATTTCATACTACCAGCGCACAGGGTGCCTCAACCAAAAATAAAGTATCTTTCGTGCTCACAGAACCACAGGTGTAATCATTGGGTTACCCAGGAGTTTTTACGATGCTTCTACCTCGCCTACCATAATGAATACTTGGTTTGCTAAACATGTCAGAATTTTTAACTCAAATACTGTTCTCTGAATTAACTGCAGGCATTCAGACTCAACACAAATGCTGTTTCATTAAAATGTAATGCCTACGGCATTTCACACTGCTTCTCATTCCTGCGTTGTGTTATGCGGCATCATACTGTGCACAGATATAATGCAATGTGACAATTAATAAGACATAACTAATGAAAGGCGATACAACTAGAAAGACAATCAATCTTTTGAAGGATTCTCAAGTGCCAATTTGGATTGCCATCTCTGATAGCTATATTAATTATAATTAGTAAAAATGTTGATCCTGAAATAGCCATGGTATTTGTAAATGTCATATACCAGAGAGTGCTCTTAGTTAACAGTACTCAGAATATTTATAATTTGGTATGCACATTATTAATGTTAAATATTTTAATACAGCTCTGAAAATAAAGAAAAGGAGAACAACAAACAAACTTTAAAAGTGTAGTTTAGTTTTCAGAAATGGAAATCATGCCAAAATTTACAATGCATACATAAGGCTTCTAACAGTGCTACTGTTTTGACAACTTATTCCGTGGCTAATTTAAAACTTGTAGAACAGATAAAGCAATAGCTTGTGACAAGAACTACTCAACTTAAGCTGAGTAAAATTCTATGTTATTTTATAAAATTTCTAGTGTACAACGGGCCAAAGTCACTCAACTCTTGCTTTTCTGTATGTGCCCTAGCTATTCTGGGTGTCATATGCAGATTTTAGTTTTTATGATGACTTTCCCCGGCCAGTATAAATAGACCTACTTAAATATGCTCTGGAGTGAGGGGAGGGGCATTATATAGCACCTGAAAATGCAATTTTGGGGATTTTCTACCTTTTTGGATCAATCTTGCTTTTGCTGTCCAATGTAGTTAAAAGTGATCATGAACTGGCTGTACAGGCAATTCAAGTGTATGTAGCCCGTAGAGGAACTTCAAATTAGATGATATTTGAGTTAATGTACGGTTATTATTGCCCTAAATATTAAAGCAAGGAGCCCTGGTGGTGCAACAGTTAAGTGCTTGGCTGCTAATGGAAAAGTTGGCAGTTTGAACCCACCCGGCAGCTCTATGGGAGAAAAATCTATTCCTGCAAAGATTACAGCCTACAAAACCCTGTGGGGCAGTTCTACTCTGTTGCATCTGGTGGCTATGAGTTGGAATCTACTAGATGGCACCTGACAATAACAACATCAAATATTAAAGCAGCCACATGGATCCTGCTTCTCTAGGGTCACTGTGGGATGTAATTGGTTAGATTGTGATACAATACAAAGGGGCCAAAAAAAAAAAAAAAAAAAACTTGAAACACAACAGTCCCTCTTTTCCAATCTTGGTTTTTTCATTATATAGGGTCACCCACAGAAATGGGTAGAGGGTGTTTTCGAAGAAAAGTCAAGGAAGCTGAGTTCTGTTCATGAATTTGCCACAGGTTGACTCTTGGGCAAGTCTCTTCAACCATCTGTACTTCTCTACCATAGAAGTAAGAGCACTTATCCTAAGATTTCTTAATATTACAATTTGTCATAAGTTACCAGTAGTGTGCTAATTGTCACACTGCTAGCCCAGATCTGCATAACTGTAGAAAATCAAAATTTCATTCTAAAGATTCAGTATTATCTGACTCAGGCCCAAAAGAAATGAGCCTTCCTCTGATACGAGTTCCTGGGCTCTCATCTGCAGCCTTTCCCCTTAGCTGTAACTTTCACACTTGGTCTGTATGACTGGACTCCTGCCAGATTCCTTCCTTGGACTGAAGGAATTATGGTAAGTTGCCTTGTATTATGGTAAGTTGCCTGGTCTTTGCCTGTTTCTGCCTCTGGGGGCTGGAGGCTGTTTCCCACTATTTGTTGATATCCTGTATCAACACAGATCTCCACATGGGACCAAATAACCCAGTCACTGATCCCTTTTACCTGTCTAAGCCATTGCATTGGATTCTTTGGCAGGTGATGCCATACTAGAGTTTTACTGAGTTTAGGCACTGTTTTTGGAAATGGAGGCGACTTTACTTGGAGACTCTATAGGAGAAAAACACACCAGTCCCCGGACTCTTTACATCATGGCTTATTTTGACTCCCTGAAGCCCACTGTTGTGGTCTCAGCATAATTCTCAGCTGACCTCATACAGACAAAGATGTGCAGAGCATTACACCAAGTAACAAGTTAGATACACCTATTTCCTCTTAAGACACAGATGTAACAAGGTACTTTAAAAAAAAAAGCGCAAAACACTGTTGCTATCATGTCATGCTGATTCTGACTCATAGCAACCCTGTAGGACAGAGCAAAATTGCTCCATAGGGTTTCCAACACTGTGATCTTTACGGAAGCAGACTGCCACATCTTTCTCCTGCGGTTGGAACCTCCCGCCATTTGGTTAGCAGCCGACTGCTTAACCACTGCACCACCAGGTCTCCTTAAGGTACATAAAGGTACCTTATATTTCACAAAAAAGTAGGGGAGATATTGCTACCATTACAGTAGCTGGAGAAGTCCCTGGTGGAGTAAACGGTTAACACACTCTCTGCAAACCAAAAGGCAGGAGGTTTGAGTCCACCCAAAGGCACCTTGGAATAAAGGCTTGGATCTACTTCCAAAAAATGAGCCATTGAAAACTTTACGAGGCACAGTTCTACTCTGACACACCCGGATCGCCATTAGTCAGAGTGAAGTAGAGGGCAACTGGCTTTCTGGTTATAGTAGTTGGAATGAGAATACTGAGTTTGTAGCTGCCATTTATTCTGGCATGTCCCCTGAAGTTTCTCTTTTTGAGTATAGCCTGGCTATAGAAGAAAAAACTGTACATGTGTGTGCTTTGAGTCGGATGATGCAGTTGACATACAGATAGGGGTTTTCTATTTCTCTGAGCATGTTGTATGAGCTATGAAATCAGATAGACATGAGCTGAAGTCCTTGCTCCATCACTTACTACTTGACTTTGGCCTAGTTACTTAATTTTGAGATTTATTCTTCTGTAAAATTAAATGAATAATACGTACTTTACAAGGTTGTGGTTCCAATTAAATATGAGAGTATATTTAAATAATCTCACGCACAGTAGGTGTTTAATAAACAGTTCCCTTTTGACTTTTTCTGCTTTTTATCACAACATATTTACTTGATTCTGAAAAGTCAGTATGTTCTCTTTAGCAGACATTGAGAGACACAAACCTATTGTACTTGGCCTGCCTGATAGGAAATGTGCCACTAAGTTTTGTGCTCCATTGCCTCAGCAAAGAGTTGAAGAATTCTTTTTCCCCTTCATCTCTCTTTAATTTTTGTTTTTTGTTTCTGACTTGTGTTAAGCATTCTGGTTTAATTGCACTATGTTTTCCCTATGAGTTGCCTTAAATCCTTTTTGAAAGTAGGAAGTTACTAAAATAAATTTACAAATATATTCTTGGAATTCCAATAGTTTTGGAATCACTCACAAAACTTTAAGGGCACTTTTGGAAAGTTTTTCAGCATCCTGCTCTTGTTAAGTGTCCTTGTTAAATGTCCTCACCTCCTGAAATTTATCCTATTAGAAGTGACACCCATCAGAAAAGATGATATAGAATTGGAGGTGCCATAAAACCCCAGAGATCTTTGCATGAAGGACTTGTCTAAAGTAATGATTTCTTGCATGGTGTTAGCCCTTACCTGACTTTCTTAACTTTCTCTATCAGCCACATGTGTCAATCAAGTAAAACTCAAACAGAAGTTAAGATTCAGTTGGGATGTCACAAATAAGTTTGCGGCTTTGGATGTGGATTATGCCTAAGTAGAGAGACTTTAAAAGGGGAGATTTAAAACAGAGAGAACTGTAGTGGAATAGAGGTGGAAGAACATTAAAATAAGTAGAAACGGGAGTAGGTTTAAGTCAATTTTTACTCAGGGCATTCCTCTCCGTTGGTAGCATCTTTGTTGCCTTCTTTGCTTCCTAGTCATTGTACTTTTTTTCGGGGTTGGTTTCTCTGCTAAACTCTCTGACTTGGAACTTCCTCATTTAACACTCAAATACTGGCATTCTCCCTGGCCTAGCAAAACTGGCTACAAAGAGTAGCTCTGTGAAGTATGCAAGTACAAACCAGTACACAAGCTGGCTTGGTGGTTGTTATATTCATTTCCAAGGAACTGTGGTATCACAACTGTTAAGTGCTTGGCTGCTAACTGAAAGGTTGGCAGTTCAAACCCACCGAGTTGCACTGTGGAAGAAAGAGCTGGTGATTTGCTCCTGTAAAGATTAGAGCCAGGAAAAGCTATGGGGTAGTTCTACTCTGTCACATGGGGTCGCTATAAGTTGGAATTGACTTGATGGCACCTAACAACAACATTCATTTCCATTACACTCCACCCAATCTTCTTGTTTGTCAAACTCTGAAGCTGCAAGGGTACATATCACCTTCCATTGTACATCTGGAACCGTTGTTTTATTGAGTCAGTATGATTTCAAAGATCAAGAAGCATTACCCAGAATCAATTTCATAGCATGCTACTTGGAAAGGCAGTCCTCATTCTTTGAACAAATATTTGTTAAGTATCTACTATGTATCAGGCAGACCCCTGGTGGTGCAGTGGTTAAGAACTACAGCTGCTAACCAAAAGGCTGGTAGTTCGAATCCACCATTTGCTCCTTGGAAACCTTATGGGGCAGTTCTACTCTGTCCTATAGGGTCGATGTGAGTTTGAATCGACAGCTGTGAGTTTTGGATGTGACAGGCACTATGCACGTGAGCATAACAACAAACAAAACACCCTAGAAATATATGTGGCCCTCAAGTCTTTATTTAAGAGCACAGATCTAAAAAAAAAAAAAATTCACATGGTTAACCAG